AAGTACAGTTTCTGATGAATGTGTATTGCTTTCACATCATCATAAAGTAGAAAAATCATAAGTGGAACCACTGTTAAGTCGGGGACCAACTATACATTCAAGTAGAATGATATCTTTTGATATATCTAATTCCATCAGATAAACTAGCAGAAAATAACTACACATTTTATAGATTTACCTTAAAAAAAAAAGCTTTAAAACTCTTACGCATGATTAGATAAACCCAAATTGTCCCATTAATATTCTTTAATGTATTTCCCATCAGCTAGCCTTTATTAACAGGTATGTGGCAAAAGGCACCACATGTGCAAAGTAAATTTATGAGGAAAACTGAAAAATTATAGGAACTAATCTTATTTTTCTGGGCACTACAGAGACTCCCCTTACCTTTCACATTGGAAGTGTCTGCTCACCCTCTACAGTAGGGATCCCTTCCCTGCCTTCTCATCTGGGCATTTCTAGAAGGGAGGTAACTGATGATTGGGTTCTACCAGAGTTTGCAGAGAAAGAGAAGGATGGAGGTAAGGGTGAGATGTGGAGAGAAAGGAGAGGATGGGGAAAGGAAAGTTTTAAAATGCTAAAAAAAATTCTCCTACATCAAAATATTTCTGGCATTACGTATATCTTGTTACACAAAATTCACTCTTTTCTATTAAACCTAAAAGGTATGCACGTTTCTTGAATATGTATGTTAGGTAGTGTAAGAACACAAAACGGAAATTAAAGAAATAATTCCAGGCTTAAGAGAAGAGAAAATATCCAGATGAAACAACACAAAAACACAGTCTAAATAATATCCTTCCAGTGGGAGAATGGGAAGGGGCAGTATGTGCTAAAGGCACATACAAAAGTAAATAGAATATGTGAAAGTATGTGAGGCTCTTTGGAGTATCATCCAAGAGCAGGACAGGTTTGTCCATGAGAAAGTGATGGCTAATCAATTCAAAAAATGAATAAGTTGGTTCATATTTGTGTTAATCTAGCTTCTGTACACCTGATACCAGAAAAGATTAAAGGTCCAAACTGTTATTGGAGGCAACCAATTAATTTGCATAAAAATGGCATTCAAAGACTAACGTGTTTAGATTTCAAATCTGCAGTAACAGAATGTGGGCTGAAACTAAGGTAAATTAAAAAACAAATACCTTTCCAATAGAAAGAACCTCCATAATCAGCATAATTTCTAATGATTTTAAAAGAATTTATTTTTCACCAGTTTGTTTGTAAGCATATTCAACATATACCTTACAAAAACCAGAAATTTTTATGTTTTATTTTAGTTGTCACAACTCTTTAGTATAAAGCCAAAGTTTTCTCTATTTTCCAAGGATATAAATAACAAATGATATGTCCATACAGAGAAAAAATAATAAAGCAAATTTTTATTATCTTTTTGAACTTACCTAGTCAAACATGTACATGTATGTGTATGTATGTATGTGTGTATATATATTTATTAAATATTAATATATGTATTTCTTAGAATTATCCTGAACAGCATCACATATCAAACATTAAGAACTCTTTTACAGTCTACAAGCAAATGATTTCGTTTGCTGTCAATACTTAGAGAAATTATAGCACAATAAATCATATGCTATTAATCTAACCCATTCATCAATATAGTCATAAATTAGAATTATTTGTTACCTAAAATATGCACTGTTAAATCATATTTCTGATCTATTGAACAAAAGTATCTATATGCTACCATTATGTTCTTTATATTTAGAATATTATTCTATTAAGCATCTTCCTTTTATCTGTGTCCAATGGAATCAAATAAGAGCATTTCTAAAACATTAATTTGCACATGAAATTTGTTTAGCATGGGGCTCTCCATTGACCACTTAAACTGATATGTACAAAAAATAAACTTAAGGAAAATTAACTTTACTCATTTCTACTTTTTCTAAACTAAGTTATTAACTGCCACATAAATTACCTCATTTAATCTTCACCATAGCCCTCTTAGTAATTTTCAGCTCAGTAACAGCAAAAATAAATAAATAAATAAAAGGAAAAAAAAAATAAAACCCATCAAGAAAATTTAAGCTCAAAAAAAACTAAAAAACTTGCTCAAAATCAAACAATTTGTAAGGAAAGGAATAAGATATGAACCTAAATCCCTTCTAATTCTAAATGCCCTCCTCCACGGCATCACTTTGTCCTTCCAAAATGACTTGACCACTGAGATCTTATTTCAACATCCAACAAGAGATTCTATTTTCCACTCCAACAATAAAAGGGGAAAAAGCCATCACACGTAATGAAGTTTTATTATAGGAAATGCCAATGTTTTAAATCCATCTTTGGTTTAAATTTTTTCTAATTGTTAACTCCTTCTGAAATATTGTTTCAGAATTATTAACATTTCTCCACTACAAGAAAACAAAGTTCTACATTCAATTATGAATATAAAGTCTAAAAATAATTCAATTACATTGCTCAGAGATCAGCAGCCTCTGAGTTAGATCAAGTCAAATATCCAGATATATTACATGTATTATTTACATCTGGCTTGCTAAAGTTATGAAGACATTTGGAATCTAAACGAAATGTAAAAATATACAAAACTCTACAGAACACAGATTGATAAATACATTTGACTTTTTAATGATATTTTTACTATTAATACACTAATCATTACTCCTTCGATTCCTATTGTATTTCTACATTTCCTCTTCATCCCCAAGTGGCTGTCAAATCATCACACAAATACCTATACCTGATGATCAAAAGCTTTATGACCGGTTCATAAAGAAATTCACCGGTGACCAGCTGTGAGAATCTATGCTACGCATGGGGAGGCATACTAAGAATGTTAAATAAGATCATTGTGCTAAAGTGCTACATATTTAACCATGCAGATTGATAAATATAAAAGCCAAAATGTTAACCATTCAGAAAATCTAAGTCCTTTGTAAAGTTAAGAAAATTGCTATGATTAAAAATAAATATCCATGCAACACATTGTTAGGTCAAATCAATATACGTAAAAAAAGTGCTGCTCCATCAAAGTATCAGTAAACGGAATCACACTTTTACACACCCATACACATTTCTACCTTTCTAAATACATTATTATCCTTTTCAGGTAAAATTTGATATACATAATACCTAAGCTCTATATAAGTTTTTATAAACTCTAAAGGATTTTGAATGTACTAAAAAGAGAAAATATGTCAAAGATGTTCATGGTGATTTGGCAAAGAAAATTGTCAGACCCTGATTTATCTAATGGGGGGTGGGGGGGGTGCAAATTTTCATAAATTAGGTTTGGTTAATAAGGAGATTCCAGGGGCCGGCCCGGTGGCGCACTGTAGGGGCAGTGCGCTGCTTGAGAGCGCGGCGGCACTCCCGCCGAGGGTTCGGATCCCACATACAGACTGGCTGCTCACTGGCTGAGCAAGGTGCGGGGGCAACACCGAGCGTTGCGATCCCGTTGCCGGTCCCGGTCCGGTCCGGGCGCAACACTGAGGGTTGCGATCCGTTGCCGGTCACGAAAAAAGAGACAAAAAAGAAAAAAAAAAAATAAGGAGATTCCAGGGGCCGGCTCGGTGGCGCACTGTAGGGGCAGTGCGCTGCTTGAGAGCGCGGCGGCACTCCCGCCGAGGGTTCGGATCCCACATACAGACTGGCTGCTCACTGGCTGAGCAAGGGGCGGGGGCAACACCGAGCGTTGCGATCCCGTTGCCGGTCCCGGTCCGGTCCGGGCGCAACACTGAGGGTTGCGATCCGTTGCCGGTCACGAAAAAAGAGACAAAAAAGAAAAAAAAAAAAAATAAGGAGATTCCAAAACCACTTCATTAAAGCTTTAAGACAGGTTAGGGAGAAGGCTACTAATTAAATCTCTGGAACAAACTAATAAAGTTAAGAGAGTAAAGGTTCCAAAAGGGGCAGGAGTTGCCAGCTAAAATTCTAGCAAAGAACAGAAAAGGCCTAACATTAAGAATACTATATAAGACTTCAAAAGTTCTAATATTCAGCCAACAGCTGGGACCCTTAGTTTAGGGCAAGCACACTGATAGCAAAACAGAATCATGACGGTATACTCTGCCCTTCAAAAATTAAATAATCACCATCAGTGTATGACTCTATGTGCATGCTATGTTCAGAGGTAGGTGAAGTAGATATTAGATTTTGAGGGTTTTGTTTTTTAAATTCTGGTTTGATTGATCTAAAATTCTATGCTTGTTCAGTATCAAGGACTGCATTTAAACCCACAAATATCATAAATGATGGCTAAAAGTTTAGGAGTATTTAGATAAGTATCACAGTCCTAGTTTTACAATACTCAGGAGTGTGTTAACCTACTTTAAGGGGCAAACAATTCTATAAAAATTGTCACCATTTTAATTCACCTGACTGTTTCTAAAGTCATGCCATATAATACTTTAAGGAAGGACGATGAAGAAGAATAATGAAAATTAAAAAAAAGAATATCTCAATTCTAAATATGTGGTAAAGTGTGGTTTACAGATGAGTATATTGACAATCACCTTTCTAGTCCCATTTTTAACATTCAACAAAAACTTAATAATACAGTATTTAATAACACTGTGATCCAGGAATTTATTTTAGTTCATCTAAACTATGAACATTAAGGGCCAAGCCCGTGGTGCCCTCGGGAGAGTGCGGCGCTGGGAGCGCAGAAGCGCTCCCACCCCAGGTTCGGATCCTATATAGGGATGACCGGTGCGCTCACAGCGCTCACTGGCTCAGCGCGGTGCGGCCAGTCTCAAACAGGACAAAAAAAAAATTAAATTAAATTAAATTTNATAGGGATGACCGGTGCGCTCACAGCGCTCACTGGCTGAGCGCGGTGCGGCCAGTCTCAAACAGGACAAAAAAAAAATTAAATTAAATTAAATTTAAAAAAATAAACTATGAACATTATTATGAAATAAATAAGCTGCTTTCCCCACCCAACTCTTCCCCCAAGGTAACTGTAGTCAAGCAAAAGAAAACAAAAAGCCAAGGGTATCCTGAAGACTCACCTTTTGTTGACTGGCTTTTCATCCTTTTCATAGGGTCGGACAAACCATTTCCCAATCCTAACGAAGTTCTTATCCATTAGACACCTACAATAATTACATCAAGAATTACTTTTAGAGTTTCAATAACAAATTAGCAAATCACCAAATCAATAATCCCAGATGAGATACACCACGCAAAATAAACACATCACCAAACTGTCAAAAAAATGTTTTCTTATCACTTAAAATTGGTACTTTACACTTAACTGAAAGAACTCTCTGACTTTGGGCATAGACTTTTATGCCCATGTAAAAATTGTAAAAAAAGAAACAAAATAAATTGGTTGATGTATTCCTAAAACTTCTTAAGCTTCGGAATTACTTCAAGACTAATCACACTTCTGCATGACTTCAATTCTTGGGTCATCAAGGATGTTAGGAATGTAGCATTTTTAAGAGTACCTCAGAGATACTCTTCCAAGTCACTGACACCCATTTTGCAAGTTTAAATGCTGTGTTTTCTTCTTGGCATATGATAGACTATCCTTTAGCAAGGATCTCAGTAGCAAAAACATAACACAGTTTCTTATACTCAGGTTTTTTTTCCTTTTATAGGCATGATAAAGCATTTTGGTTATGGATTTGCAAGAATATAAGGAATTGCAGTAATGTCTTCAATAACGTATATCTGCTTTACTTAATCTAAGTTGTGCCCTGCTTCTATTTCTGTGCCATTTATATACATTGTGTTTCCATGTCAAATCACAGGGTACTCTTTTTGAAGACATGTTAAATACTAATTGAACCCAATTCAAATAATACCAATAATGCATATAATTCCATTGAAGTGGCATCAATACAGACAGTTATGACCAAGTTCACTCACGTGCAAGCAAATGACAACTATTTCATAACTGCCATATGGCCAATTGTGAAATGCCATCAACTGTAAAGCATATCCCTGATTTTAAAAGTACCGTACAAGAATCTGAGAGAAAATGTGCACTTTGGAATTGATGATACAGTAATCTCTAACATTACTCAATGAAATTATACTTATTTTATATGAAAAGCTGTCAGAAAGCTGGATGTAATTCTATACAAGGTTCTACCTACGAGTAAAAGAGCTATATAGCAATTCTCTATTCAATATTCAGGCAATTCTGCATGTGGCTCTTGTCTCTATAATTTCCACACCATCAAGGAGGATGGAAACAATTCAAGCACTCACCTAACTCATTAGAGCTTAGGTGGGTTAGTAAATGGCAATAGTTTCTGCTGGCCATAATGTAACTCTCTTTGGTCACAGTCAATTTGGAACACTGGGCATTAAAAAGTCACCGGCTTTTAACTGGTTTTACTTTGAAAATGAATTCCTACATTTGAACAATCTTTCTTGCTCACAGTGAAGAAAATCATTTTCAAAGTAACCCAATATGCTTATAAGTTAAACAAATATACTTTTTAGCATTAAAGACTATATGACCACATTAAATTTAGAATAGGAAATATGAAATACCCACCCTAGGAGAAAGTACTCAAGAAGAAAAACTGAAAAAGTAGCTCTACGGTTTATTCACTAGCTAAGAGACTTAATTATATCTTTTAGCTAAACTACACATGCATAGATAGATGTTTCCACTAAAAACTCCAAAATTTGATATCAGGCTCCTTCCTCCAATTAAACTATCAATAACTACTACTAGAATCACTATTACCACCATCACTACCACCTTTGACTACCAGGCACAGTATCTCACTTAATTCTTGTAATAACAATAAGAGATGGGTGTTAAAATGTCAGTTTCTACAGATGAAGAAGCTGAAGCCCAGTGAGAATGTCACCTAGCCAAGGTTACACATGTAATCAACAGTGGAGCTGCTATCAAGCCCGGGTATATCTTATCACAGAGCCAGGAACATTTAACTATCACCATATACCAACACTTACATGCTGTCTCATTTCCTCAATTCTTTCCTCATTTCTTAAATACACACGCACCTTCTAATTAATCGGTCTATTTAATGTGATAGCATTTCTTTATTCTCCAAAAGACATTTAGATTGAAGTTGTATCTTAAAATCAATAATGCTTAGAATGAATGCAATAGGGTATGCAACTGGTCTGGAATCACATCAACCACTAAACATTGTCATCTAGTAACATACATCCTCACTTAAGAAATACCATTTTTTTAAAAAATATTCATTCTTACTGGAATCAGGGTGGGAGGACACACACACACGCACACACACACACACACACACACACACACTCCCTCCAAGGTTAGGCAGTACAGAAAGTATTTCCATCTGGTGTTTTTGTACTTTAAGTTATGGGAGAAAATGAGAGAGGAAGAGGTGTGTCTTTGCTAAGGAAGGCAGTTCCACCACCTATTTGGTAGATGGGAGTACGGTGACTCAACAGCAGACTATACTAAGGTACTACGTCCTTGGTTCTCAATCATTTTGGGATTGTGGAGCTATGGTAAATCATCATCATCATCATCTAATGAAAGCGATAATAAATTTTTTCCCCCCAAAATGAATGGAAGAGCAAAATATTTCGCACAATTCCCTAAGGTTAGTGAACTCTATGAAGCAGATCCTAGGTTAAGAATTTCCATACTAAATACCAGGAATCCCTTTCTTGTCCCATGCTCTCTCTTCTCCTCTAATTTAAATTGTATTCATCTTTTCTGTCCCAGATCAAGCCTGAACAGTACTCTAACATCTAGAAATCAGCACTTTCACCACTGAGCTATAATAATTCATTTCTATGGTTCACTTCCCCATGAAACATTGCTCTTTGGGGGCAGACACACTACCTTTCTTAATCACTGATAATATTCAACAAATATTTAAGTCCCTATTAAGTAATATACTTTACATTCTGCTCTATCCCAGTAGGTGCTCAATAATATCTGAGAAATGAATGCTATACACCAAGGAGTATTTCCTATTCATAACGTAATGCTGTTATTTCTCTTGTTTATAACAACTAATCACAGGTAGCTTTGAAGTGTTATTTGAATTTTCTCATGTATATGTATTCTCACTCAGTGTTTGACAGAAAAAAATCTATATATTTCACCTCTTTATAGCCCACCAACTCCCACTGCAGACTGAAATCATAGCAGATACTCAACATGTAGGGAATCACACAGATGCTAAAAATGTTTAGGAGACTAACACTACTGCCTAAATGATTCAACTATATTTGAAGAACATAATTAAGCAAATCTTTTAAAGAGAAATAATTCTAAGATACAAAATTATATCAGAAATATAATTCCCCCTTTCATATTCTATCAACCTTTATTTTATTTTATTTTATTTTATTAGGGGCAAAATTTATATTTAACTTCAAAAATAAATAAACCTAGCAGACACACTCCATCTGCCAAAAATTGATTCAAATCAACATCATAAATAGTGCTAAGAACACGGATTAGTTAACCTGCTTGTCCACTCAGTAACCCCAGTCTTTATTATTGAGATTTTCAAAAGTACTTCTCTAGTAACATATGACTTAATTCTGTAAAACAGTACAATATTATCTTGCAAGATCGCTATGTGATGCCAGATATTTCAAATGTTCTTTAAGCAATAGTACTAGGAAATTATTTCTCTTTCCAACCCCTCTACCACCTCCCAAAAATCACTGGCTCAAGAAGAAAAGAAACAGCTGCTGAAAAATGAAAATGAAATCAGGTTTTTTGGTTTTTTTTGTGTGTGTGTGTGTGTGTGTGTGTGTGTGTGTGTGTTTTCACACGCACATGTGCGTGCAGGCTTGTACCTAATGTTTCTGTGTCATGCCATATGGCTCTGAATAATTAACTGCAAACGCAACCTGATTCCAAAGTTGGCAAGCCCTAATCTCTAATCCCAAAGCCACGGGCAGACCTGATATAAGATTACAAGTGCCACAGCAGCAGCCACAGCAAGTCATTTCCCAGATGGGACAGTTGGGAGGTACAGATGGAGCTCACTTCTGGTTCTGGCTCCTTCTGTACCCCTCAAATTATGTGGGTATAATAGTTTTCATAGATTAACAAATCCAAGGATAATGTCTCTCTACTATACCCTCAACCAAACTGAACCTTAATGTTATCTAGTTACAGAGCTGCTCACATTAACGAAGGTTTTATATAACTTCCTATCATAACATCTTCACCAGCATCAAAGCCTTTACCTCACCACTCCAAAGTATATTACACATGTATGCAAAGAAGTCTCCTTCCTAGAAATGGCAATGGGCAATGCTCCCAATTCCCAACAAAATAAAATAAATGAGGCAAGCTGGCCAGTTAGCTCAGTTGGTTAGAGCACAGCCTCAACACCAAGGTCACGGGTTTGGATCCCCATATTGGCCAGCCACCCTAAATTAATTAATTAAAATGAACAAAATAAAATAAAACTGCAAAATTGGGGGGTCTGAAGAAATATTTTCCAACTGATCCCTGCATCTTCATTACTTTGGGCTCCTACTATGCCCTGGTGGCTGCAGTCACCTTTAGCCAGGCAAGCCCTATTATTGCCAACCTCTCCAAAATGCCTATAAGGTTAGGCTCTTTTACAAGGCTAGCCTGACCTGAAATCTCCACTGTAATGCAATTCCAAAGAATTGTATCTCTCCTCTAGCTTCCAATTTTTTGTCTAATCCCACTCTCCAACTACCCAACAACAACAAAAAAAATTTGTTAAATAAATACATTCACACACACTAATTAGTTTTAGGGTGAACATGTTTCTTTCTAGACATTTACAATTAGATATGTGGTTTTAGTCACTTGTGTCGGTAATGTTTCTACCCTCTCTCCCATTAAAGTATATGCCCCTTAGGTTGAAGACTCATTCTCCTACTTTAGAGAACTGCACACTGTGGCATTTCAATAAAATGGGAATTTACTGACTACTCATTTCTTGCTCCTGTTATTGCTTTATACCAAGGACTCAATATTGCAGTATTATATTACCATTTATTCAAGTAGGGCTATATCTACCACCATGCTCTAGTTAATATATTTATTATCTGGAAATCCCTAAACCACCACATCCAAGGACATTGCTCATTTGCCCTTTGATAATCACTTCTATTGGAT